ACATTACACAAATGATGGGAAAAAAACCCATCGAAACTCCGATTTCGTTTGCTCAAAAGTTGTTCCAAAAACAATTCGTGGATTAATGGCCAACCATCAATGTAACATTTAGGCCACATTTGCAAAAATGCCCGCGCGCTCCTCTACCATCAACATTCATCTTGTGCACATCTTTCTCACTCTCTCATTCCACCGTCGCCGTCGAAGAATAAGTTTTGTAGTTTTCGTTGTAATGACGGTAATTTATTACCAAATTAGAGATCCTTTTTTCGCTTTAACATTTCGTTCTGCGTGTGTAAGTCGGTGGCAACGGCCACGAAGACGACGATTTCATCGTTACTGCTGCTACTGCTGCCACTTTTGTTGCAGTGTTTCAAGAGCGCACTCACGACAAGCGCATAAAATGAAAATAAGTGTGTGAACCCGGGCGAATGTGGAGAAAGAAAAAGAGTGAGAGAAGAAAAAAAAGCCCATGCAATAATATCCCGATAAAAACAAAAAAACAACAACGAAATAACAACAAATTCAACGAAAACGGAAGGAAACAGATGTTTTTTAATGCGTTAAGTGAAATGGAGAGGTTTCGACGATACTTGTACAAATGAATCAAGCATAAGTGGTTAAATGTGATACTCCGATTTCTATTAACCAAAAACCATTTTTTCCATCCCCTTTTGCTCGTTGCGTCTATTTGATGACGAACCGACGCATTTCTCGTGCGTATCACATCGATTTGAAATGAAACAAACGAATAAACGAAGAAAAAAAATATTTATGGAACCCATACCAAAATCATTGTCGATTTGTTCTGGGCCGTTTGCAATGCAGAACAAATAACAACAAAATGCTAAACATTTCATTTATCGTGTGAATCTTTATGTATGTTTATATATGGAATGGGCATTTGGCCGTGTCGTCCATAAACATGTTCACATCCACTAAAATACTCCTGCGCTTGGAATTGAGTTTACACTGCACAGCGCACATACATATATTTTTATGCTTAAAAAATGTAAACAAATTTCTTCTCATTTGTGCTAGTATCGTTTTTCATTATGTAGAAAAATTTGTACAAAAAAACCATGATTTTCCTCCCTCTTCCTCCTTCGTCTATCGCAAATTCTACACAGATGCAGTGCACTCACACATGCGCAGCGCTGCATATGCAGTGATTGTCGATGTGCACACAGATTTAACAAGGATGGCTTAGAATATTGCAACCCACATCTCTGTGTAGTGGTGTGTGTATGTGATAGTTTGCTGAAAATGTCACTTCTGTGTATGAGTATAGTTGATGCAAGCGCCATTAGAGTGGTAGTTTTGCTAAAATTGAACAGCTGTAAACAAAATGTTTTAGATCGAAAGTGTCAATCGTTGGTATTAGCAATCGAAAACATTTGAAAAGTCGAAATCAATTTTCAGTTCTATTGTCTTTCATTTGTGACGGACTACAGTTTTTTATACGCATCTATTTTGCCAATTTTTTAAAGAATTTCGAATTTGAATCCAAAAATTTAAGTAGTTATTTTGTTGATCGTGAACATTTTGATATTAATTGTGAGCGAAAATGCTGGATGTTCTACCATATCGCGCAGAGTATGCGACAGGAAAAACTAACTGCAATAAATGCGCGAATATGGGTCCAATCACATCAGGCACAGTACAAATTGCTGTCATGCAACCCGTGAGTTTTTTTCATTATAATTTCAATCATTATCGGCATTCAATCGGAAATTCTTTTTTTTAATGAAGAGTCCCTCCGACGACTGTATTCAGCCCACATGGTATCACCAGCACTGCTTTTTTTCAGTTCGTCGGCCAATTTCGGTGGATTTCATCGATGGATTTGCCAATTTACGATACAGTGACCAAAAACCGATGCTAGACATAATTGGTAATTTATTAATATGACCATAACAGTGTATGAATTTTCGTGGTGGAATTAAACAATTTTTTAATAAAAATTAATTCAATCTGATCGAATAAGGTGCTAATGTGGAACTATGTCCCAACGACGAATTAGTAAAAGCAGCATTGGAATTGGAATCGGAAATCAAATATCAAAATGGCCTTTATTTTTCTATCTATGACGAACTCTTAACATTGGACCATATTGATCACCATAGAATTCTGACAACGAACAATCAATTTATCCCTGAAAAAAAAGCTGATGTATAATCCACATTCATTGCACATGACAATGTTCTTGAGTTGATTTACGTTTTGATTATCTTTCACAGGTTTTGAACCATTTGACTGACGTCGTCTGCTTTGGTGCACTTTTACCGTGTTCGGTTTGCAAAGATGGCCGTTTTGTATTCAATAATTTCAATTATTGTTGCACGGGTTTTGATTCTCCGTGGACGAAATGCGTCAATGCAACCACAGATCCCAAGCGTGTTTCATTGAAACGATCAGAAGATCTACAGGATTTAATAGGAAACGATGCTGCGCCCATTACTCGAATCATGCGAAATGTTGTCCGGGCTAACGATGATGAAATTGAGTAAGAAATTTGTTGATTTAGTTTGGATTCTATTGTCGATTAAAAATCAAATCGTTCTACTCAGATATCAAGCGAAACAGCCATTATTCGACTTGGACTTCCTAATTGTCGGTGAGACAAAGCAGCCGAAAAAAGATATTGTGCATAAAATCCGATTGATGGGTGGCAGAATTTCGAATGAAGCTCATCGAGGACTTGCCGCAGTGATTATAAACGCCGCTGAAGTCGATCGGTTTAAAAAAGATATTAAATGGGCATCTGATCGTGGTATTCAAATGGTACCCGAAGAATTTCTTAACGAAGTAATGGACAACGATCCGATTGAGGTGATCGTAAAAATGGACATAAGCAAATGGGGTCGAAATGTAGGTTCACCATCAACACAATTTTTTTATTCGTGATTTCAACGCACAATTTTAATAAATTTGAATTCTATTTCATCCCATTTTAGCCGTACAGTCGTTTGCCACAATTGAAATTAGACAGAGCATCAATGAATAACGATTTGGGAATATATACCTATAAGCATTTGAAAAGTAAATGACATTGGAAGATAAAAAATGTCAGTCAAATTTTAATTCAAACTTCATTTGATTTCACACAAAGGTGTTGATCCGGTCTATGAACGAGATGCTACCGTTTACTGTAATGATGATCTGAGATACGATGTTACACTGGACTACGTCGACATTGGCACGAATAAAAATTCATTCTTCAAGTTGCAGGTACTTCAAACGGCCACTTTATTTCAGCCAGCTGGAATTTCAAATCCGCAACACAAGTATGTGTTGCGTCTGCTAAAAGGCCGAATCGGAACATTAGCCGGTTCAAAGGAACTGACTGTGTGCAAAGACGTTCACGAAGCTAAAACAAAATTCAAGCAAATGTTTATGGAAAAAACGGGTAATGAATTCGGCGCAAGGGAATTTGTGAAAAAAGCGGGCAAATATCATCGAGTAAACATTGACTACGAGGATGTCTGTCGAAAAATTCCGTCAAACAATGTGCCTACGAAATTAACAAAAGCGCTGTACGAATTAATGCAACTGTTGGTCAACGAAGACGTGATGAAATCGGCATTGCTGGCATATTGTTTAGGTGGCGATAGTATGCCGCTGGGAAAAATCACTATGCAACAAATTGATGATGCATTGAATTTTTTAGCAGAGATATCATGGTTGCTAGAACATAATGGTGATCAAAAACTCCGAATTCTCGATGCATCGAATCAGTTTTATTCGTATGTTCCACATGGCACTGGTTTTAAGCGACCACCAATTATCGATACACTGAAATTGGTCCAAGACAAAGTGAGAATGTTGAAGAATGTGTCAGAGAATTGTTTGAAATACGACATTCTGACCAGTGAATTGAATGACGAGCGAAATATGTTCGATGTGTGCTACGAACACCTTGGAGACTCGGTTGAAATTAAAATGATCAACAAAGCATCGGACATGTATGCAGAAATTGACAAATATATGAAGAATACACAAATACCTGCAAACCAAGTGCGTCCGTATGGTTACAATCGTGGAAGTTTCGAAATTGATGAGGTATTCGAAGTGACGCGTCACGAAGAAGTGCTAAACTACAAACCGTATGAACTACACTCAAATCGACAATTACTATTTCATGGATCTCCGATCGTCAATTTCTTTAACATTCTGACAAATGGCTTGAAAATTGCACCGCCAGAAGCCCAATTCAGCGGTGCAATTTTCGGTAGAGGCATTTACTTTACCGATTCAGTGACCAAAGCCGCCAATTACTCTCAAGCTGTTAACGGCACTGGATTGGCATTATTGTGCGAAGTCGCACTTGGTTTTTCTGACATACACCCTCACATCGATAATGAAGAACCCATTGGCCACCATGATTCGGTGCTAGTATTCGGCCAGTATGCTCCGAATCAATCGACTAAGTGTCCTGATGGTATGAAAATACCAAACGGCGAACTTGTTTTATCACAACCACAGAGTAGATTGACTTTTAACGAATATGTGGTGTTCGATCCGTCACGAGTGAAAATTCGATATATGGTCAAATTCACATGGAAGCGGATTGAATAATCGAAAGACAGGAGATATCAAATAGTAAAATCTCAACACAATCATAAAACGATATAGGTTCATCATACAAACATTCGTTCAATTAAGCGTAAATGTTGATTTCAATTTAAACTTCCAATATGAAAAATTGTACTATCGAAAGAGTTTTTTTCTCTAAATTTCAAATAAATTTCGTTTAAAATTCCAAACTTTTTGTTTCATTTCATTCGAAAAAGATGCAAATTTGAAACTTGGCAATTAGATGACTAGAAGCTTATTAAATACTTTGCTCAAGCGCATTCAAAGCAAATGCAAATAATACTTTTGCAGGACCTAAGCTGCCAAATTAGTACTTAAGATTGTGTTTGAAATGTCTATTTGACGTTTAGATTGTAAACAATCAGTGTGAAATTGACAGTTCAGTTCATGCATGATAATACACCGCTGTAACAACACTTCGGTAAATTGAATTTTAAAAAATCTATTAGGACCATTGTTATTGATTCGAATATTTTCACAAAGAATGGACGAAACCAAAGGTAAAACCTTAAATTCATTAAAAAGTTTGCTCAGTTCTGATGATTTTAATTTTTTTAGTTCACCAATGTTTGTTTTGTTCGCAAACATTCGATAGTGCCGTTGAGAAAGATGACCACATTCTAGAGCATTTTGTCCATGTAACTTGCTCGGAATGTAATCAAGATTTGATTCAAATCGGTAGTAAATTGTACGCAGAACACAATACAATGACATGTATAAAAATATCAGAGCCATATGTTATTTACGAGCCCGTGGAAATAAAACAGGAGACGAGTTATCCTGATGATATTGAGCAACTTGATGAAGCAACCATTTCTGCCGCTTTGAACATTGATATCGAAGAGCAACAAATTAAAACTGAACTATCAATTGAAAATGATGAACTTGGAATTCAAATGGAATCAAATGATTTGGAAGCAGACGGTAAGCGTAATGAGCAAAAATCAATGCACTTGAAATTATTTATTTCTACAAACCCCAAACTACATTTATTTAACTTCAGGAAACCGAAAAGCAGAAAAAAGAAATCGAACAACGTCTCCACCATCAAGTGATCCGATATCGAAACATAAGAAAACACATACATCTGTTAAATCAATGGCTGTTGTAGTGAAGGGAACGCATACCAGTCGATCATCTTCTTCGGCATTGAGTGCGAGTGCGAGTGCGAGTGAGACTGCGAGTACAAGTGGAAGTACGGGAAAAGGTGTTTTCCCAAAAACTGAATGCTCAATTTGTGGCAAAACGATCACAAAAAAAATCTTAAATAGACACATGAGAGAGCTACATGGTGATAAAAAAGATGATTTGAAGTGCGGGCTGTGCGATTTTACGACTAAAAGGAATACAAGTCTACTCGATCACCAGAGAAGGGTGCACCTTCAACCCGTTAAGAAAGGTCGACCGAAAAAGGGTGTTGCTCGCCGTGAAAGAAGTCCATTCAGGACAGAAGAATTTAATATTCGCCATAAGACAGCGGTACAAGCATTAACTATCAATGCAGAAAAGCTGGACGAAATCAAAAAATCGAACGATGAACTAGTGATGCAGATGAAAGGCTTTTATGAGAAGCGCCAAAGCACAATCAATAACGTCAAAATGAAAGAGAGAATGTCAATCATGGAAAGTAAGCAGACAGAGCAAAGACTGCCCAAACAAGATGACATCCCCGGATCATCAAAAAAGAGATCCACAAAATGATAACTTGGACTAATGGAAATTAGAGAAAGGAGAAGAGCTCACCGTATAATAACAAGCACAGTATTATTATTGAAGAATAAAAACCAACAAATAAATCTGGTCAAACTAATAAAAAAAAACCTTGCGTTTTACAACGAGTACTTTTTTTCTAGGCTGGATCATAGCTTAACAGCGTGAATAAGTGCAAAAATGAATGCGTACTTTACCCAAACCATACGAATTGTAACACACATCATGTGATTGAATCAAATTGTTGAAATAATTGTTCTGTGAGTTGATTCAGAGTGAATGTTGCAAAATTCGATTAAAACACCACCAAAGAACAAAGTTTACAGTTGAAATATTTAAATTTTCTATTTAAATACTCGAAAATCACTTATTCAAAAGTATTTGATTGAGAAAAAAAACGTTTTATTCTTCTGCGATAGTCCATTGCTAATCAAAACTTCCCTATTTATGTAGCTACTGCTGTTTAGCAGCACGCTCATTTTCATCGGAAATTTATTTTCATTAGAATCTAATTCCATAAAAATGTTTACACACATAACAAGAATGTGGACAACAAACAACATTCCACTCATGTGATAGCCTATTTATTGACCATCGTTCTATAATTCAGACTCTCTGTCTCTCTGTATCACAATTCACTCAGTGTGTGTTTGCTGCGCTTGTTTTGCATTTCGTAATGGAAGTAGCCACCGAATAATGAATACATACATCCTATAAAAACAGGCGCGCATACATAACAAAATTTTCTCTCAATCATTAAATGCCTCTGAAAAAAAACACAATATCCATTAACCCATCAAAATATCAATATCGATAAATTATTGCTATTTTATTGTATTACAGTCAAGATAGTGAGCGTAACAAATGCACGTTGTTGTGTTTATGCTCACTCTCCCGGTTGCATGGCATTTTGTGGGTTTGGGTCTTTCGGTTTTAGTTATGTTGTTGGTACTGTTTTTTTTTTCGCGTAAGTTTCCACAGTCTGTCGATCGTTCACGTATTTAACTAACTCAACATCACGATACCAGCTGCCCGCTTTTATTATGGTTCGAACCGTTGTTGTTGCTGCTGTTGTTCGTTTCTTTTGATAGTCTCTATAGTGCGCGCATTGCGATCGCTGGAGAGTTTTTTTTTTACATATAAATGCACAGCCGTCTATGCTCAACCCACGCTCAATCAGCCTCTTTCTTTCTCTCTTTCCTTGGGAAATAATTAAAAAAAGTTCTGTCAATTCATTTTTTGCTGTTGTTGTTGTTGTCATTGCTGTTCGAGCGCACAGCATTTATGCAACAGTTCGGTTCGCTTCTTTTTATGTCGCAATTATGTCGTGAAAATGTAGAAAAGGAAGTCGATGCCAATAACTATAACAACCATAACCATGAGGACACAATACATACATACACAGTATGGTACAACAGCACTTGTGCCACAATAAATAACAATAAAAACAACAACATTGGCGCATAAGTGTTTGGACGGCCTATTGTGAACCGCACACCGTGCTGCGCTCATTGAATTTCAATACACTTTTAACGAAATTTATTAATGGATCACCATTTTAATGTGTTCGGACATCATGCGTTAAACGCAATCGAACGAAAGTTATTGAATGGGAATTTTGTTGAAGCCGAATTTTCGATGCGTCTCACTCGTGTACGGTCTCTGTTTCCTTTTTATGTGAAGTCGAACTATGCAAACGGCATTAAATGCATTGGTGAATTGGTGTGCGTGCGTGCGTGCGCGGAGACAAATATGAAATGAACATGATTGAATTATTGCTTAATTTAAATGAATGCACATAACGATTCGATTCGTGCATCTGATGAGCAGCCAGACAGCGTCCATTAAATTCCATGATGTGTGTCTTTCGCGTGTGTTTGTGTGTGAACGCCGCTTTTCAAATGAAAATTTTCAATTTTATGTCATGCTGCTTGTGTCTGTGCGTGCGTTTTCAACTTTCATGTTCTCAATCTTTTTTTTGTGCAGGTCAGCCATTGCCCTTTGCCTTTTTCACACCGAATGTGCGGAGTGGCGCAACATTAAGTAAGTTTTGTCATAGTTCTATCGCCGATGTTGGTCGATTAAAAAAAAAAAAACAACAACAACCAAAAAAAAACAAACCAATATTTTGACAACTCGTCCAAAATAACCTGTTGTGGGTTTTGTTTGTTCCTTTTCATTTTAATCCGTCGACGGATTAAAAACCAAATCAAATGAGAAAAATGAATTATTGAAAGACACATAATCACTTTTGACTCAATGGAATGACGTTAAAATCCTCATGTTTCACATTCTTCTTCTTTTTTATTCTCGCTCGCTCGCTCTCTCTGCCTCGTCGATTCAATGGAAACACAAGCCCGGGAAAAAGTAGAGTAAAAACATGAAAGATTGATTTGAATCGATAAAGAAGTCACAAATTATCGAAAAATTATTGACATGTGGATGCATATGCATGAGCATCAACAGCAAAATATGGAAATGAGGAGAGAAAGAAACAAAAAAGAGTTGACTCATTCTGGCAACGGCCCCAACGGAATCCATTCTACTTTAATCATCACTGTCCCATGTTACAACATCTCTCACATTTTTTTCTCTCCCGCTCATTCGATTTGTTGTGTTCTTTTTTTCTTCTTCTAGAAATGCTTTCAATTCGAATTGACGTTGTGCTTTCATTTTTTTGTTTTTTTTCTCCATTAACCTGAAATTACTTTTTTGTTCTCATCCTCTTCGTGTCGATGTGATTATTCTGAGAGTCAATAGTAATATTTGTGTTCATGTTTCTTCTTTTTTTGATTTTTGCTGCATGAAAACAACAAAGAGCAACATGAAACGAAAAATTTGAAACCGAGAGAAAAATCAGAACGAGAAAAAAATCGACTGAGTGATACGAGCAAATCGAATCGGGCCATTGATTTTAATTTCAAAAGTATGACATTTGAAATTGGAAATTCAACGCTGTTTGTTTAATCTAAAACAACAACAACAAAAAATACGCCACGTAATAAGATCACAAAGTACCGAGAGATGAGCACATGAAGTCTCACGGGCGCACGTACAAACGACACAAACCAAATCTGACTTTAGGAGAATTTATTATGTTGTGGCAAAAGGGGGACACTAAATAGCAACATGAATTTCATATCTCGATATTCATTAAACAGAGAACAGAGGAGAATATGCGGCCACGGTGATGGTGTCAGTGCAGCATCACCGGCGTTCGGGATTCCTGAACTGCTGTCGCTTCGTATGAAATGTCTTCATCAAATGAGCTGAACACGACGAGATCGATTCGATACAGAAAAAAAAGGCAACCATCACCATAAGTTGAGGTGCTTAAAATTGTCATCCGTTTTGTAAGCAAACGACCTAAGCGATAAAGCAAGTAATTTCGAGTGTCATTGTATGGCGGATTGAATGGAAACGAACGAGCGAACAGTCGAGAGCAAACATTCAAAACGTAACCATAAATTAGCTCCGTCAGAGTACCAAAAGTCGCGACTACTTGAAGCAACAAGCGACAAATGTCGAATCGTCTTACTGAAGCGCGTTAATATTTATTATTTCAATTTGGTACCTCATCTGTCTTCCAGTTAAATGCAGCAAGCTCACATACAAAGCCCGATGGCAATAGCGTGCGCATATTGTAATGCCGGTACCATTCGAACGCTCGCTCGCTCGTGCGTGCGCTCTCTGCTATTTATAGGCAGTCAAGGAATTTAGACAAGAAAAATGGATGGGAAAAATGTATTGTGTCTCGATTGGCTTCATAGTTGAACCGTTCGCTTTTTTTTGGTGTGTTTGTATATGGATATGTTTATATTGTGTCTCACTTTTGTGTACGTTTGTTTTAATTTCGTCACTCACTCGTCGAAACGTAATCACCGACTAAAATCCATTGGCCTATCTATCACATTTGGGACTAAATTGAGAGTATCCCATATGCGGTTCATATATTACAATTTGATGTCGCATCCATTTCGAAATGTTAAACAGGCCGAAAGCCGAGAGAAGAAGGAACAAAAACACTAAGTAAATGTCAACAGCAACCGTGTTGTCGTCGAAAATGCCGACTCTTCCGTATGCACAAACACACACATAGATTCACAATGGAATAACATCGGGAACATGTGTAAAACTTGATTTTCTGGCCGAGTGCATAGAATACGAATTAGATTTACAGAGCAATGGTAAGCGCCTTGATCGCTAAGCCCAATCTTTCATACCTTTTGCGGCCGACTGCTTATTTTCACAACGAACCAACTTTTTGTTCGACTCAATATGAACCGAACACGGGGAAAATGATTTAGAACTGTTTTATCCCCATGATTTACTGAAGGTAAATCACAATCAAATCTTTGTTCGACGGATTTTCATGTATATATGTGAGAACTCTCATATCTTGTTTATGTCAGCCGTCGTTGACTGTTACGTTCGAGCGGGTGGAAATTTAGCTGAATTTTCCCGTTGGAATAAAATCGTATTAAATCGCTTCACTCAACTATTTCGAGATCAATCGAACATGAAAAAGAAGGAATTTATGAAGAAAATGTGCAATTTAGCTATTTGTGTTAAGTGCACATGGCACACACACAACAACAACATGAATGCGATAAAAGTTATGTGGAAGTGAAATCTGTTGTGGACACGCACGCACGCACGCACCGTCCATACGTATTTCATTCGAACTCGCTCCGAAAATGTCATTGAATTGACGAATGAATACAAAACACAAGAGCACAAGATATGTCATTAAAAGTTTTCCCTGCTTCGCAGTTCGACTTCGACTTCGATTTCATTTCTCTTGTTCTTCTTTTATTTTCTCTCTCTCTCTCTCTCTCTCTCTCTCTCTCTCTCTCTCTCTCTCT